AGATGATCTCTTGGAGGGAGATAGTACAAAAAATAAAATAGAATTGCTGATACGTAATTTGTCTTTAACATTAATTCTTGAAGTGTTCTATACAAAGTTTTATATTAAGAAAGAAAAAAGGGTTACAACAACAAAATTCTACAATACAACGATTATCGTTTTCAAAGACACCCTGTGTGCAAAGGGGTATAAAACGGAGATCCCCACGTACGTTTTCTTGCGAACGACGATGAAATTCGAGAAAATTTTGTCGATTCGGATTGAAGGAAAAGCTTCCAGAGGGACAGGAGGACCGTAAAAAGTTTTCCTTAAACAATCGCTGCTAGAAGGATTCCTCTTTCGTGGGATAAACGTTTATTCGATCAATGGCTGAGTTTCGAGAAAGGCGAGTCGGTATTTTCGCATGTTGGTATCGAATCGTGATAGTAAGGAATTCACCGATAAACTCGAACGAATGGGTGGGGAAGATAGCAAAGTCTTGGCATCTGGATATATCGCGAGGCGTGGTTGTAATAGAATTTTCTATCTATAGCATCGCCTACGTACCTGACGCAGGCATCCTTCGAATAGCCTCACAAAACCTTCTTTTTATTCATAAAGAAATTAGAACTTTCAAAATTTAACTCTATTGCAAATTACAATATAACATAATTGATGGTAAGAAATTGATTCACCGCTTAACAGAGACGAAACCTTTGCTACATTGTAAAACTAACCATCACCGTTATCAGTCGTTGGTTCAATCAAGTCCCAGAAAGTCTCCTCTCCTTTATCTGAAGACCAGGACGATAGAATGCAAAACGGTGTCGCAAAAACAAACTGCAGAGAGGAGCATCGATGGATCGTCCAAAAAGGAAGACAAGAAGATATGTAGAGGCTGATGGGGCCAGTCTTTCTAACAGAATAGAGAAGGAAAATCTTGAGAGAGACTTTGGCTGATGAGAGAGGACGGTTCCCATGACGACGCAACCCCAGGAACACGAAACGGTCTAGCCATCCTTGACTCAATACCAGCTCGCTGAATACACACGTAGCTTCGCATCAACCTCACCACCACTAGTACATCTTCGCTGTTGAAACCCTCTTAAGCTCTGCCTTGGACCGTCCACCTCCTCTTCGTCTCCACCATCCCTCGCCACCTACTTTCACCATCCTGGCTCTGGCCAAATGGAATATCCCACTTTCATACTTTGTTCCATCTGCAGCTTCATATCGCGAGCCTGTCTGTGTAACCGACGATTCGAACGCGGAATACAAACGATCGAGAAAAAGAAGAAGACCGAGTGGACTTGGAATTGTTGCATTAGGGGTTTGTTGGACTTCAGGGTTCGCCTCTGGGCGATTCGTGGAGGTTTCTCGAAGGAGGAGCGAGATAAGGGATTGACATGGGGGATTACATGTTTTATAGGCGATTGCATTGATAGGTTAAGTTAAGACTTAGAGGAATCGGTTGGGGTAATTAATAGGTACTGAAAATTGGAACTTCGGCTCGTTTCTGCTTTGCCTAATACTAAATATAAACGTCGACCGCCTCTGGGTTATGAAATTTAGAGAGAAACTTTTGGACGGTTGGAACAACTTAATTGCTCGATGCCTGGTAAGTGAGGGGTTCAGCCTGTACCCTCTTCAGGCGTTTCAATCCTTCTGGGTAAAAAACATCGTCTCACTTTTCACTGAGAACTGGTATCGTGTATAATCTACTATTTTATCATTGAGCTTTAAGTGTCAGGTGACTGTTTATCTTAGAAAACGTCATAGAACAAAGTTAGAAAACTGTCGAGTTCTTATCTGGAATAAATGGCAGCCTTTTGAACCAATGGTGAAATTCTATGGATAGGTTGGTAAAACCCTATTTCGAGTGTAATGGGACGATAACTGATGGAGTGTTTCAAAAATTGAAATTCAATAAAAATGAAAGTCTTGATTTATTTCACATTAGAGTTAAGTTGACGTAGCCTACTGAAAGAATCGCTTGTCATTAGCGTTGGAAACATTTTTTGAAAATAAAATATTTAAGAATTGTGGCGAGATTCGAAATCGCGGGATTCGTAAGTCCATTCCGTGTGGCAGAGCGCACGTCACTGCCATGTTGGAGGCAAGCGTCGAAAGCAGCGTCTACGATTGGTCGCGCGGCCATACCGTCCGTCCGTGGAAACGAGAGGGCGTCCCGGTGCTGGCGGTGTTCCACGCGGAAGGCGTCTCGACGCCCTACTAAAAACGGCACGCGTCACCTAGCCATGGCTCTGGAATTCGACCGACCCCTTTTACCGCCCACCCCTTTGTCCCTCGTCTTCTCCCAGACGATTCGACCCCTCGTAGCCTCGTACTTTTCGTCAGGGTACATTTCAATTTCCTCTGTCACGATTGATGAAGATTTGTATTAGATTGATCCTAAAGCTTTGTCGTATTTATACGACGCCCGATTTTATCCAAAGATTTAGACATTTAAATTGCGAGAAAATATACAAAGACATTCACACGGATATTTTTACTTTTATTTTGAAAGGGTTGATTTTTATATATTTATTCTTAGAAAGAAAAGAAGGAGGGGTTGGAGTGAGGTTGAAAAATGATTCAACGATAGAACGGGAATGTATTTTGCGGTTGAATTATTATTCCGGCGTATACTGGATCGAGTAATTTCTGGCCGAATGATTCGAAGATGGAGAATACGTTGGAAAGTTTCCTCGTTTAATATTACCGTTTCGAATAAACGAAAGCTGGACGATCTTGGTCGGCTTTTAAGGATACCCTTCTAAAAGCCTGAGAGTGTAATTTAGTGAAAACTTTCTTTTTTCACGATTCGAGTTTCGTAATCTCCCGAAAGGGCTGCCGCAATGAATGCAACCCTTTTTTGCCGGGGTTTAATATCGTTTCGCCCGGTCTGAATTAAGGCTGCCACTAGCTCCTGAGGGATCAGATTTTTTTTCATTATCTTGGCCACGTTAAATTTTTTTTTCGGGGGTGGTCCTCCAAATAAACATAGCACGTCTGGAGGTGGTCGTTAAATTAACTTTTTGTTGCAATGCCTACTTTAAATACATTTGCTGTCGAAAATTAGAAATCAAAGAAATTTGAAACTTTGGGCGTGAAATGAAATTTTTCGAAGATAGTCAAAATAAAATTGTACCGTTTGAAATGTCCTGAAAACTCCATTGACTCCGTGCAAACCACTCCTGCGGGATAACGAGGCGATAAATATCGACCCATTACACCAATAGGGGGTGTTATCGAAAACGTGCGTTAAAGTTACTTCTAGGGTAATAAATTTCACTGTACTGGGGGGTCAAGGTTGAGAGTTGTGTATTTTCAGCGGTCGTTTGATAACTTTCAACTATCGCAACCCAATGAGGGAAACACTTGAATCTAAGTTTCAAGATAACTTCGTTTTCGTCAACCGACACCAATCGTAAATTTTCTCAAGTGCTTTACACTTTTCTTTATGAAAACAAGAAATTCTTAAAAACATACAAAAATCATCACACTAGTCCTAAGATAAAAATCATAAAACTCCAATGGAAAATATTGTTTCTGCTCCGTCAAACTCAATCAACCCCTCTTCGTGTTACTCCTTGAAATTTGCATAAATTCACTGTTCCAAAAATAATGGCGAGCAATGGTGGACTTTTAATTTGATTACACGGATGAGATACAAACTCACGAGCCGTTGACTGGCTGAGTAAATGACAAATGGACGGCTTCTGCGAAGCGTTTCATAGAAACGGCATAACAGAGTCACCCCTTGTCACGGGGTAGCGAGAGCTTTCTCGTGTCCGGCTGTCGCGCACCCTCGACCAATCTCTTCAGTACACATCGACTGGCCAACGTGTTCTTTGACACCCCTCCTTACTTTCCGACCTTTGCTTTTACTTTGCTTCTCCATGGTAATATCCCTCGTGGCACGTCCTACCCACATTTCACAAGGTTTACCATTTTCTCCCTTCTCTGTTCTGCTTCTTATGGATGTCAAAGGACGAAAAGGATACTGGTGGAACTTTTGTATGGAATGTATGGGGGTTGGATTTGTCTATCGTTGATCAGGGGTTAGAAAGATGTCGGGTTCTATGGAAGAGATGATTGTTACATGGTATTTTGCTGAAATGATGATTCTTTATAATTTAGGAAAAATTTAATATTTTTTTTCAGCAAAATTGAATTTCCCAAATTTAACTTGCTTTAGTATATCAGTTTCAGTAGTTTCTTTTCCTGTCGCTTGCAAGTTAGATGAGTATATCTTTCTTCATCCCTTTCAACCGGTGTTCAACGCAGCGCCGTAAACTCACCCCTAGAGATTTCACTCCGTAGACACTTTCAGTTTCCACGTATATCCACGTTTCCCAGGTTCAGCCTCGATTTCGATATTTACGCTCGCCTGGATGAATCGGAATTCATAGGCACAGTCTCGATTGAATTTGCCGAGTCGAAATAGGAATCGTGATCGAACAAATCCCTTCTTTTAGAAACCTTCCATGGATTATTGCACGTTGTTAAAAGAAGTTTATGAAAGTACGAAGTTAAATGACATCTTATTACGACCTGACAGAATCCATTAATGGTTATACAAGATATGGAACTTTATACCTGGCGGGATATAGATCGCAAAAACCTACATAAACTGATGGTGACCAAGGGAACGTGTTATGAAATACGGTATCCACAAGTGGATCGCTTAAACCTTCTTCTTTTTCCTTGTTTCAGGCTGATGTTTTTTCTTGTGAACCTGTAAATAAAAGGCCTCAAAGTGTACGGCGCCGTGGAGAAAACGTTTCACCCGTTCGACCTGTGCAGCAGGTAATTGATCCGAATTTGATATACGACTATGAGTTTACATTACAAATTTATAATGATGAATTAAATTTGCGGAAGTAACGATTGATATTAATGATATTTATGAGACACGATCATTGATTTACAGTATCTGCTTATGTTACAGGCTTTCCCGCGTGTTCCAGCCAGGAACACTGGCCGGTATACAAGGTGAGTTGCGCACGCGCCTACTTTCTTTATATTTTTTTTCAATCCTCCACATTAGAAACAGGCTTTAGGGCAATCTTTTTTGTTAAATACGTTTTACACCTCAATTCCTTAAACAGATCGTGAAAACTTCAAAATATTAGTTCAACAGATTGCCCTGAAGCTCCTTCATGTTTTATACTTCAACTACCAGCGTGATTGACTTTAAGAGCCGATATTAAGATAATTTTTATTGCGGCTTTAAATAGAGTCATCTCTGAATCGGTTAAACTTAATGACTCCAAAAAATTCTTTAACTGCCTTTAAAAATCCAACGTGACTGGAAGATGTTCATTCACAGCGACACTTGGTAATCGATTATTTATAAAACAAATAGTGTGTGTTGAAATAATTAATCGTCAATAACTGAAAGAACAAGTACATCAAACACACATTGGAAGAATACAAAGGATTTCATTCAATGCTAAATGCGATGAGCATTGTTCGCTGAGTTAATTTGTCGTCCTCGACCTGAAGACCTCGAAACTAAAAAGCAAAGGGGATGAAGTATCATTTCCTACGTACGTACTCGCCGTAAACAGAGGATTGTATACAACTTGCGTGGTACTAAAAGCCATAGCTACTAAACCTCTCGTACTACCTATAAATGGTCGGGTTGCTATAAAGTCCATTCATGATCGCGTCGCTTGTACAACAAACGTCAGGTGATTCGCGCCTCCCCCGCGATTTATCGCATTGCTGTTCCACCGACAGACTAGTGCTTCCTACTTGCTAAGTATGTACGATGATGAAAGAGCCAGCTGATTCGTTATTTCAAGATAAGAACGAGTGTAACTCATCCTGTTTGATAGAAAATTGTAAACGATTTGAGAACGATAGCAGAGAAGATTTTATAACAGTGTAACTCATCTTCTTTTTACAGAAAGTTGTGAATAATATGAGATAAAAGTTTCATTGTTGGGTAAGGTAGGCAAATGAAGAAACCTTTATTTTAACTTAAAAACTTTATTTATGAATACACCAGTACAAACTCGACCAGTTTTTGATTCTAAAATATCTTTTGGTTAAATAATCCTGAATAAATGGAAACTTTGCTAATTCCACAAAGGGGTATCATCGTCAAGCAGGATTAGCTTGTTCGTGGTTCGTTTCTCGTCCAGACGTTCGGATCGAACGTTTTTGTCGAAACTTCCTCGTAAAGTTCCACGCTTTATACATTTTCACGAAACGTTCGAGACATAGGACGATAAAAGTTTTCTTCGTCGGGCAGCGGGCCGCTCCCTTCTCGATATTCGATGTCGATCGCTGCATAGCCGAGTTACGACGAGAGATTCAACGCGATTAAGAAACGGCGCACACCGCGAATACAGACGGGAAATTTATAGATTCCTCTCGAACGGCTTCCAGCAGCCGCGTTATTACCCCAATAATAAACTCGTTAATGGATCAATTACATAACGGACAGCTATCCTCCGTTTATGTATCGGAGTCAAGTTCAGCCACCTTTTAACAGTCTCCGTTTATGCGACTTTCAAGTTCATCGTATTGAGAAAGATAGGAATGAATAGAAGGATGCAGTGTTTTATAGTTTCAATGACTTCAAATATCTATTATGATACAATTGATACTTGAATAATATAGGTCCATTCAGAGAAAGTGATAGTAGTATGAATCAGCTTTATTTTAGGAATCATGTAAAGGAAATCTGGATATTGTACTTTTTCCTCAGGCACTCGGTTTCTTTTCTTAACTTTAAACGATTCCAGCGAGGATATTGCGTAACTGGTTAGTAAACTTTTGATAATGATTTCCTGGTTGACTATCAAGCGCAGACAGGTCCCACGCGTGGCGCGATCTAGTGGCGCGCGAGCCTGATGGACAGATGGAAGACGTATGTGCCACCGGAGTTGTTGTCAGACCGTTTTACTTTACTGCCCCATAAAAGTACCGAGATTTAGACTGCAATACTGTCATGACTTATTGTCCGCGTCTAGCGTATACGTGTGCATGCACGCGCTCGGTTAACCCGTGTGCGTGGATGCACGCACCGTGAAACGATTCTGATGGTCACAAGACATATCATTCATTCCTCTTTTCACGTGTAACTTCACGCGTGAGAAATAGCGGCGAATTGTTGAGGACTCAATCGTTCATTCTCTTGTTGCCTTGCCAATGAAATTGTAACTCTGTTGAGTTAACTGGATGGATTCACAGAAGTACGAAAATCTAAAGTTAGCGCGGGGTTAGATCTACCCTCTGCGGTAATGTGCATTTAGCCATGCGGAAAAATATTCTAAAGAAAAAGAATTAGAACAGAGACATTTGCAAGCGCAAAATCTAAAGTGCATCCGTATCGAGTGCAGTCTTATAACGAAGATCAGCGGAATTAACCGTGAATAAACCAATAATTTAATAACGATAAAGAGTAGTTATTCGGCGAGATAATGGATACCATAAAAGACGTATCAGTAAAGAGGATAGGTACTCGAGGCGTTTCTACATGAAATATTACACGAGGCGTAGCAATGGAGACTTGGAACGAGGAGGACGCTGCTAATTAGCGTTCTAAAGGGGCGCCAATAAATTTTTTCCCCCGATTTATCGCACGCTCAAAGGGTGAAAAAAAAGGAAAGGGAAGCGCGTAAAGCGATGAGACTGAAGATTTTGCTCGATTTGCCGCGAGAGAGGCATCGTGAAGTAAACCAAGAGAAAAAAGAGCGGCAGAGAGGGACGGAGAGAAGAAGCACCTGCTATTCATCCATTGGCCCACAAATCCGGGTCAGACGGAGCCTTTCGTTTTTCTTTCGCTTTTTATTTTACTGGCTAAGTCAAGCGTTTGGAAGTCGAAAAGAAAAATTGAGTGGCGACAAGTGACAGAACGGAGTCGCGCGATATTCAATCTTTGCGGAAGAGAGAAGTTTGTGTGTATAGGCGACCTCGCGCGCTCACTCGCTGATTCTCGCGATGCAAGGGTGGGAGAGAGTCAGATTAGAGCACGGACTCGACGGAAGAGGGACGAGGTAGGGTCGAGGGGGTTAACATCGCGGCAGAGCGTCAAGTGGAAGGGGAGAAAGAGAGACGTGTCCGTGCAAGGAGGGTTTGCTTGCCAAACGATCCGAGAGATCGCGCTCGTGTCGCTTTCAGCCCGTTTACGCGTCCGAGCCGCGGGCAGAGCTCTCAGTTGACGCTCAGTTCGGCTCAGCGAGGCCAGAGAGAAGAAAGGGAGTCTTTTCGTGTGTGTAAACATCGCGCGTGTGTGTATCGTTGCAGCAGGCCACGGTTCCGCAGGGACTAGGCTCTCTTTCTACCTGAACAACCCGCAAAAGACCGCCCGTGTTCCTGGGGGTTCGGCTACCTGACTCTCCGGGGACATAAGGACGATAAGAAGAAAAAAAAAAGAAACACTGACGGGAGATCATCGGTCCGACCACAGACGTTCCGTTTCTCCTGACCCTTAGATAGGAGTTACCTACTCGAATTCAATTTGACTATAGTTGATCCGTGTGTCTCGAAGTGGACGTGGATAAAAGAAAAAAAAATATAGAATAGAATTGGGAAAAATTGACAGCAAGGAACGGAGTTTGATAAAAAGGAGCGGAGTTTGGACTGAAGAGCAAGTGCGCGCTGAGAAGAGACGTCGCGTGTACATTTTGAAGAAAGTTATGAGCAGGGTGACAGTTTCCGTCGAGGAAGGAGACGCGACGACATGTGGCTCGACTATGACCTGGAGCGGGACGACAATAGCAAGATCGGTCGAGCAGTGAGAGAAACGCGGTCGTACCGTACGTACGACGAGGCGCGTTCGTTTCTGTTCTCAAGAAAACGTCGATTGCCAAGTGTCCTGTCCGCGACATGTACCAGCCACGTTATCGTTGACGGTCTGGAGCATTCATTGTCGCCGGTGACGTTTGACGATCGCGAAGTCACGTCGACTCGGTGGTCAACGGATAAGACTGCTGTCTTACGCTAATTGCTGTGCTAGCCTATCACAATAATATTGTTCGTGGCTAGAATTTCGAAGAAGCATTTCTAAAGGCGTGCTGTGTCGTTTTGTTTTCATTTGTTCCAACGTTACGGTTCCAACGTATCGTTCTACTTGGTTATCGTTTTTGGACCATTGGACTACTGGAATCTTGGATATCGGTGTTGGACAACCCGCCAACCGATTCTCATCGACGACGTCTCTGCACGTGGCCCATTCTGCCGCCCGTCAACCTCGATCAACCTCGATCAACCTCGCTCGTCGTCGCGGACGTTATCACTGTTGTGGTGGTGGTGGTGGCGGTGGCGGTGGTGGTGGTGCATGGACCTTTCCTCAACGGATTTGCTACGCATTTTATCGCGCCCCTGGGCGTCTTCGTCTCCCTCTCCGTCTCACACTGTCTCTTTTCGTTTCGTTCTTCTCTCTCTGTTCCTCTTATTCGCCGTGTGCCGTCTCCCTCCCGCGCTTACCTACCCCTCCACCTGTCTGCCGCGCCGCTGCACACCCTCCCCTCCTTCGGCAACCCTGCTCGCACGATCGCGTACCCGTACAATTTTCCCTATCCCCACCTTTCGCGCGCCTCCTCTGCTTTCCGCACGCGTTTTCTTTATTTATTCCGCGATTCCTTCGGGCAACGCGACGCGACTCGACTCGCACACATACGCACATACGTACGCACACGTACACGCGATGAATCCCGCGTCCCACCGTTCCGCGACTTTTTGAAATTGTTTCGCATCCTCGCGCCGGACCTGATACTTTGATCGGTCGCTCGGTTCGAACGAACGCGCCTGCCTCGCGCTGTCCATTGGTTGTCGATCGGCGAGACCGTCTCCTCGTAAAATCGACAATAATAACTGCCGCTTCTACTCTTTTCCCCTCTCCCGCTCGTTTCAACCTCCTTCTTCTTCTTCTTCTTCTTCTCTTTCTCGTTCACCGTCTCCTCCTACTACTTCTCCTTCTCCTCTAACCGTATTCTGCCTGTTGGACTAACGTTACTCGATCGAACATTACCTTGCTTCGCTGTCCGTCCTTGGATCGTACGCGCACGCCGTAAACGCAACCGCGCGAAACGACGACGATATGCGATCGTGGTTGCTCCTGGTCGCGTGGTGAAAATCATCGATTGTAATCGAATCGACGTGTTGCCGCGCTCTGTCCATACCCGACCGAATCGACCGGTCGAATCGGCCACGGAATCGACATCGTCGCCACCGTTCGTCAACGTCAACGTCAACGTCAACGTCCACATCGACATCGACATCGACATCGCGTCCATTCCGGACGTGGTCGTTATAACACCGGCAATCACCTGTCACCATCTGCACCATCGCCGATCACGTGGCTTGCTCGACGGCGACGCTGTACGACAATGTTCACGCCGCGCCGCTGTGCGGCTCCGGCGTGGGCCACCCTGGCTCCGTCACGCCGATGGGGACAGCCACCGGAGCGGGGAATTCCACCGGGGTGACCTGGTGGGCCATGATGAACGGTTCCCTCTACGAGGACAGCCCGCCACCGGTCCCACCAACAGCCTCCAGTCTCGTATCGATCCAGCAGCAACAACAGCAGCAAGCAACATCGACCCCGGGTTCCCATCAACAAGCTACCACACCAACCTCACCAGCTGCACCAGCTTCAGCGACAACCACCGTGCCACCGGCTCCAACAGCCAGCGCCAGTTCGACCTCGCCGAGCGCCTCCTCGGTGGCGAGCAACAGCGGGCCTGGACCACTCCACATACCCGCCAAGAGGTTGACCGCCACGCCGGCCGGATCCTCTTACGGGGAAGTCGGCTGTGTCGATTCCTCTGCGGCGCCCGCCGCTGGACCAGCGGGCGTCATTCGTCATTCCCACTCGTCCTCCGCTGGCTCCCAAGGCGGCTGGAGTTACAGCCCCCATCATCCCCAGGAATCGCACTACTCGTCCGCCGCGGCCGCTGATTCCCTGAATCATCACCAGACCTACGGGGGAAACAATCCCCCGACCTATTACAATCTGGCGGCCGATCCCACCTCTACTTCCGGCTCCTCCAGGGACAACCGGAAAGCTGGCACGTTGAGCTTTTGGTCGCCAGCCGCGGCAACCGCTGGATCCGCTGCAACGCCCGGCGCCGCATCCGACTACAAGTCCTACAACTCGGTCGGCTCTGCAACCACCAGTTCCTCCACGGGTGCTGGTTCATCCTCGGTCCCCAGCGGGGTCACGGATCCGGCCGTCTCCTCCTGTCATCAGAGCTTCTCCCAGAGCTGGTGTAACTACGCGCCGTACACCACGGCCAGGCATCACCATCCGGTGGACACGGCCGGTCATCATCATCCTCACTCTCAAGCAGGAGTGCCGTACTTGACACCATCCGCGGCAGACGACCGGGGAAGGGTCACTGCTGCCATGGTCGCGGCCGAGGGCGCATTTCCTCACGATGGATACGGTGGTCTAAGGAATTACGGGGCGCCCGAACCTGTCACCTCCAGTCCGTACCCACCTCCAGGTAAGCATCGACTCTTTCCTTATTGTTATCATTCGTCCCTGTCCATTTCAGTAGGTCCCGCCAACGTCACGGTAAAGTATACCCAACTAATCAATTCTGAAACCGCCCCAATGCTTAATATTTCTTGCTCCACGAGGTCGTTCTTTATACGCGTTCCGGTGAGACCGGAAGGAAGCGTCGTTGAATGTCGCGAGATCGTGCCACCCGGTCTGTTCGAAATGCTGGCCTTGAGATGGGAGGAGAAAACGGAAGGGTAGACAATTTAAACGGTCTAAGACCACGGTGCCACAGACCCGTCGTGCCAACGATCGTCATCGTTCATTCACGTGTTTGGTCATTCTCTTTCGTCCCCACTCGGCGTCCTTTTCTCCGGTCCCTGGAACCCATGAAACGTCGCATGAGCAACAACGAACCGCGGCAGGTTTATTGGCGGCCGTAACTCGTAAACTCTGGCGTGCGCCTCCGATCAGCTGATCCGTTCCATGACCCGTACGGACGTTCAGTCTTCTGCTAACGACCGTCCCCGTTTTCCTCCTTGCTCAATGTTTTCGTTCGATTCCCTTCTACCGTTCTCTTCTCTTTTTTCCTGCTAGCCTTTGGCGCGATTTTTAAACATTTACCCCTTGCTCTTGTTACCTGACTCATATAACCAGTTTCAGTTCTACCGATTCCGTGGCAATAAGTTTCTTCGCTAGCAATCGAATCTAGTCTTAACTAATTGGCATTCCTGATACATCGTTCGGTCGGGGAAAACCAAACGGGTTTTAGGAGCAACCTCCGGTGGTTGATCGTAACGCTTTAGGACCAGGAGATTTTTAGCGACGATTAGCAACCGTTAGCCAAGAGGAAAGGAAAAAACATCGAGTCTACCGGCTGAATCGTAAAGAATAGAAAAATACGAGACACGGCGGCTAGTCATACGGGCACGCTCGGCCCCGATAAACGAGATATCGTTCGCGTGATTCTCTCGTCCACAAAGTTAATCGTATGCGTGGAGAAGGGAGGTGCACGCGCAGGCGTGCGATACATACAAAGTAGCAGAATACGAGCGCCACGTATAGTTTAACCGTCACCCAATAGATGGCAGCTCCATTATCTTTGTTCGTTCGTTTGGTGTCTGAAAGGAGGGTAGACTGGTCCGAAAGAACATAGCCGGGCCACGGCACAAACTCCGATCTTCAAGAGTTGCGCGAACGACAGCTGCTTTCGACTTAGTTCCTCGACCGTTTTAGCAGTTCTGATAAACATCATCCTGTGTTTAAGAAGATGTGTCCGAAAGGAAACCGGTTGCACCCCGACGTCGTACGTCCATCGTTTAAGCGTCATTTCACAGCCCCGTAAGGACCAGCGTCCTTTCGTTTTTTAATTTATCTTGCGACCATCCACGCCTCCCTCGTTCCTTTAATCGTCTCTAATTAGATCCTTTGCCAATTTACGGACCAGTACGATTGAAAGAGATATTTCTGCATTTATACAACTCTTACATTGCCGCTTTTTCCTGTTAGATCCTCTGATAGAACCGTTTCGTTAGACTTTCTGACCGAGGGAGGGTAGGCGCGATGACCGTACACGCTAATTGCTGGCAACACGCCGGCCGCAAATCGATACCTCTTTTATTCCACAGTTTCGTTGTAAACCCCATTCTCGTGTGCGTACACCGTGCACGTTGACATTCGTGAGAATCCTGACCTTTGTTAAATAATTTGCATATCCCAGCATTTTACTGGGCAATAAATTCCTGTCGCTTAAGCAATCGCGCCGCGATACCCGCGGAACGAGACGAGACGAGACGAGACGAACGTTGGCAAAAGACGGGAATAGAGGAAGAGCGAGGGGAGACAGGGATTCTCTGCTCGAATCAGGGATAGCAAGAGAAAGATGAAAGATGGAAGACTAGAGAGGCAAGGTATTACGCGATCTAATAACGGGGAGGAAGGAAAGACGGAAGTTGTACCGGCTCCCTGAATCTTCTATAAAAACACGTTTATTATATTTTATTTTTTTTTATTTTTCATCAAAAGCAGCGTGTTAATGTTGGCGGAAAAAGAAAGGGAAACGAAGAGTTTAAACGTTGGATAATTTATTCGTGTTCCTGCCGCGGTTGACATGTTATTTCAATTGTAAATAAACCGGCCTATTTTTGGACACTTTAATCAGATTTCACGATAAAGTCTGCGTTAAACCAGGAAAATGAAATGAACGGTTTTGGAAAACAGGACACGACCGGGAATTGAACATTGTTAAGGGGTGAAGACAGGATTTTGTTGCTACGTTATTGAACTCCACTGCATTTTGTAAACATGCACCAATTCCTGGGCACTCTTGTCCGTACTTGGGTTAAAGATAGACGCTGGCCGTCTGCTTTCGTAATCTCTTCGAAGTTTCACGCGCTTACGACCGGACTGTTGCAGCATCTTCCGAATAATGATATTTATATCGTTATTTCATGGCGTACGCCAATCCGGAAACGGGATTGTTTTCAAATCGGGTTAAACAAATTTTTTGATGTTCGTTAACGCCGAAATAAGAATCAGAAAAGTATTTTCAGAAGACAAATTTGGGATACTGCCTTGCGCGTTTTAATTATTTTTGATGAAATAAAAATAATAAAAAAACAGACTACTGGTGTTATACAAACGAAACGAACGTGTTCACGAATAAATTATAAAGTTATTTGTAGAGAAAAACAAAAAAGATTATTCCGAAATTTTGCATTTGTAATTTTTGTTATCGCGATTTGATAGCAGAAAAAATCGGATATGGGCAATCGGCTGCACGTTTTTATATTTTTTTAATATTGCAAAATTGCGCCTGGTTCCCATTTGATTTACGCTTTTAAATTAGAAATTTATTTATGCAAGAAATGGTAAATATTAAAGTTTCAATTAGTGCCTGGATGTCCAGTCGCTCATATAAAAATCTGCAAACCAGTTAAGCGTCTCGAACCACCTAATACGAAGTGGAACATACTAACAGTTCCGCGTTTCGTGTTCAGTTTCATGTTTTTCGTGCGGCTAGTAAGGCAGGTCCAATTATATCGTGGCAAACCCTTCACGTACGTGGGTCACACACACAAATGCGTGGGTTAAGAGCACGCTCGAACGTTGGGGAGCTGCTTCGGGTGTGAATTTCACGATCTCGTGACCTCACGACCTTCTCTTTCAGGAAAACCTTGTCTCAGCAAGAAATTTCACCACTTTGAGTTTTGTCACCACATTCCTCATGAATTTTGAAATGTTGGAAGTTAATTATTTTTAATAGACGAGTTCTAATAACTCGTCAGTTTCTTCTGCAGGAAGGATAACTATTTTAAATATTAATGGTTCAACCAAGGTACAAGGACGGGGATTAAACTGGTGGAGATTGTTAAACTTCAATAATAAATTACACGCAATCAATATTGATCATAAATAAATGTTAATGGGGTTGTAAAAATGATATGAACATATTTTTTATAATAATTAGCCGGGTGTTACGTTTATCGACTTGGACTTCAACTTAGGCATTTGATGTCAGCTCATTATCAGAGTGTTTGGTCAACTTGATAGGGTAATTTTTTGCTGAAATTAAAACTGGATTTGATACTGTCTATGATACTTATGTACCAGAAGTCAATAATGATTATATTCAGGAAAAAGTGGAACGGTACTGGTATGGTTACGCACCGATACGTCGATTAACGAGCTTCTGCTGTCTAATGACTTAACGAGCCGAAAGAAAAAAGAGTTGTTATGACCGCTCATTTTCGATTAATCGCGATGCAGAAGTTTGAATCAGGTTAGATCAACTAACCACGTAACGTGTTGTAAATAGGGTTTATTAAAATGCATTAGATCTTGGCTGCAGCAAGATAATTCATGAACAATTCGATAAGCGTAACCCTCGACGTAGAAGGAAAGCGAAATTTTGCACGCCAGCTATATCTTAGCTAGCAACTAGGTTGTTTGTTACCGGCAAACTAATTGTGTTAAGTGATGTGGGGTTCCTCCCCATCTTCGTTGTTTCCCGCAGGTTCCCTGGCGGGAGTCGGCGTCGGTGTCGGCGTGGCCGGGATGGGCGTCGGTTGCGGGAGTTCGAACGCCCTGGAATGGGCAGCAGGTCAAGCGACGGTGCGGAAGAAACGCAAGCCCTATTCGAAGTTTCAAACGCTCGAACTCGAGAAGGAGTTTCTGTTCAACGCGTACGTGTCGAAGCAGAAACGATGGGAACTGGCGCGTAATCTGAACTTGACCGAGCGTCAGGTGAAGATCTGGTTCCAGAATCGTCGGATGAAGAACAAGAAGAACAATCAGCGACAGACGCAGCAGCAGAACAATAATAACAACAACAATAGCAGCGCCAATAACGCGAATCACCACACGGCGACCGGAAGTCACCACCATCAGAGTGCCGCGCATGCGCCACCATCGAGTCACCACGTGGTCGCGCAGGCGCACCACGCGAACGGTTCCGCGAAGCATCATCAGTGACCCGTGGCCTTCTCTGGGATCGTCTTTGGCCATCATCAACACAACCAGGGCTCGACGAACGGCTGTGGGACTGGAAACGGGACCGGAACAGCGACCGTGTCAGGGAGCGGAAACAGTACCGGCCACACCAACAGCAGCCACGCGGGCCTGGTTACAGGACACAGCCATACGCTTCACGCGCCCCAACCTCAAACGCCTCTGCCGACCCACGCTGCCGCTGGTGCATCCTCCAACACTGTCACACCCCCCACCGCCATCGTTCATCCTCACATTCATGCACACGCTCATCATCATCATCATCACCATCAGTTGGCACACGTGGCTCAGCAGTATCCTACGCTCCTTCATCAAACGCCCCATGGCCTGGCCGCCTGAACTCGATCCTATCAGGCACGGACGCCCCAGAGAATAATCATCGACGAGTCCTGTCTCGCGTGACTCGTTGGATGGAACGCAACTTCTCATCGTCTTCGTCGTCGTCGTCAAGGATTGGCCATCCGTGACTACGTCGGGATAGATAGACACATGTACTTACCCGCACACACTCTATCGAACCTTGTTCAGCAGCTGTTCAAAGACTGCCTACCACTTGTAAGGAGAGATAACGTTTCGCGAGTAGTATATTATTATTATTATTATTATTATATTATTTTATTATTATTATTAATGTTATTATTACGATCATCGTCATCTTCATCGTCATCATGGTTATCAATTCAACGGAAGGGACACTGTTGTATAGAAGAGCACTGTTGGTCCACCGTTGGACTCTTTCTTTTCTTTTTTGTTCCCGCGTGTCGTCGGTGTCAGGTGTCGATCTTCTTCGAGTAGTGCGCATTAGAAGATATATGCGGCACCGAGAAATCTGTCCAATTCGTAATTCGGTAGTACTTCCTCCAGTTATACATATTATATATATATATAGAGATATACATAGTAAAGCAAATTAGTGTCACTTAGCGTCTGGTCCCCCTAGTTCCCGTCTGGATGAACACCATCGACTCCTGCTCCACCCCATCCCCAACAGGTTTTTACTCCCTCGACCGTGCGTTTGCTTTGTCTTCAACTGGTTCAGCCCGTGAATCGGAAAGAATCGAAGAACGTGTCGTGGCTGTTATACGAGAAGACGGCGCCATTGGGTCCCGAGGCTACGACAAATGAGCTCTAACCGGGGATTTCGAGATGAGAAAATCGCCTATCAGGGGTAAGTGTGCAGAAACGAGGTTAGAGCGTGAAATTCGAGTAAACGATGAATTCGTGCGGAAAAATTTGATCGGCGTTCATGAAAAATCGTCTACCTTCATTTAATCGTTGGATCATCGATGATCCAATTAGATTCGTTGCTACTGTCTGTGATTCGCGGAAAGTACTATTGTTTTCTTCTTTTCTTTTTTTGCGGAGATGGTGACAATCGATCGCGAGCTACGGCGTTCTTTCATCGACACCGGTGTTGTCGGTGTATTTGCACGGTTGACGCGTGTTAGTTTAATTTCGTCGCGAGACAAAATCCAATAATGGAATTGCTCGTTTCATGGGATCCAATGCATCCGTCGTTCTGAACACGAGAGCTGATTCCCGATCCTGGTAAGGATCAGTGGATCTTACGTGAGAAAAACTCGATCGTTGGAGAGTCTGAGCAGGATCAAGCGTTTGGACCTCTGTAGATAACTTCTATATTCATTGTCCGACGCTTTGTTTTGTAGAAAAACCAGCTATCGATCAGCGATTTTTAAAAAAATAGGCCAAGACACGTTCGCATTAGACTTAGTGCAAAGCAACCATACGTTCGTAGGGTTAGTCTAATTATGTCCAGAGTGTTGTATTCATCGCCTACCAAGGATCGCAAACTAGTACCTATAATTCTTATATTATATGTAAAGAAAATAAAACGACTTTTAGATGTAAAGGCATACCTAGTGGACTATGAAGTGCTGGTGAGAGCACTGCTCTAAGACTGAGTTTAGGAACTTCATCGCTAGAGCTGTGTTATGTGTGTACTAAAATGAAAGAAAGAAGTTCGTTTGTTAATTGTTGAACGTGGAAATTAATGTTTGTTTTTTTTTTCGTTTGAATTACAAAAATCCAAAGAGATTTCACTGAATTAGAAGATGCTACCCGGCGAATGACAGCACTGTGATTAGTCGAAATGAATTCGAATCGATGTTATAAAATTAAATGTTGTAGAATGTGAATATTTTGTTATTCACGGAAGAAATTTTATTCAAATTCGAGGATTTTTGGCTCACTCATCAAACGTCTTTCGGTAACCGCGACCGAGTTAAAATTCGGGTGTGCGGGATGATGTCTATCCTTGTATTAGATTGGCAACTGAATTCGAATCTAGACTTAGAAAGCTTATATATCAAAAGGATAGTTTAAAATTAAATTTAAATTGTCGCTATTTCAAAAAATTTGAATTCCCAAAGAAATCGAAAGAATTCTTCTCGATGGAACCAAGTCCTAAACCCGGTCTAAGAGCGATGGTAATCAAAGCGTTTTACCTTTTAACCGGTACGTCAGCGAGTAAGTAGGTAATTTAATCGGATGTTCAATGAAAATAAATATCCCAGTGGATCTCTATTCTCTAAGGTGCAACATTATCTAAATTGTAAGGGCCGCTGAATGAGTGTGCACACTTACGGTATATTACGTATACATACTGCGTGTGTCCTCTTCTTGTATGCACTTGTGCATGTGTGTGTGTGTATGCGCTCGCGTGTCTACACCCGCGTATACGTCAAAGAAATACAAGCTTTGCACCAGAGAGAGAGGAAGAGAAAAAAAAATCGATAAAGAGAAAGTAGGGCCAAGGAGAATATTGAAATTTCTCGGAGGTGTAGGTGCGTGAGCGCGCGTGTGCGAGTCAGTGACTGCGAGAGAGAAAGATGAACGGAGATGACTCGAGCGAGAGAGATAAAGTGAATACACAGTCAACGTAAAACTTAATCCAGACTTGCATACAATCGTTTGCACTTAAGGTAAAAAAATACCATGTTGCAAATAAAATTTTATAAACAAAACTATTTTATTCGCGTTTAATAAAATAACGGCAAATAACTTTTACATATTTGTTTCAATGTTTGCGGGCAAAGATATGTATGTCTGGATTAGGTTTGATAGTTAATGATAAATGCAAAACGTGACGCGAAACGAGAATTACAAAAGATATTATAATAATTAGGATAACATTAAAGAAGAAAATAAACATGAACACAGACACAAATGGATACACACGGAACACAATTGTAAGATTGAGTCTTGGATGAACGATACACTGCTCCGCCACGATTACTATGATACACTAATTATGTAACGACCGTTTAAGTATGATAACAGTATAAGTGAAATAAAGTGATTCTTGAGAAGCAAGCGAAGAAATATCAGAGAAAGGTGAAAATTTCATCGGGGTTTTCTTGGGGGTGGTGGGGGGTTAATATGGTGTCTTTTACGTCAAGATCAAGATCATGCAGTTGGCGAACCACATTCGGATTTTATCGTGAGTTGTAATTAGTTGCTAATTGTCTTGCCGCTGACGATTTTTATTGCGATTATTATGATTATTATTATTATTATTATATTATATTATTATATTGATTATTATTATTATTATTGTGAGCGTCACGTTAATATTATGTTATTGTTTTTATTGTGTGTTGTTTTGTATGTACCTATCAGCCTATACGATCATGATATTATTATTAACAAAGCGATGGATTTACACAGGTATACACACACGTCCACGAAGCACACATCGATAAATATATACAGGGTGCTCCATAAGAGATGAGACGTAGAAATATGAATTAATATCTAAAACAACTTGTGCAATTTTTTAAATTTTGTTTTAATTTACAGCAATCGTTGTATTTGAGTAATTCTTGATTTTTGAATGGACCTGTAGCTTGCAGATGCTTATATCATTTTCGAAATACAACAGACGGGTTTTAAATATCAATTTGATTAAGTATTGAAAAACTGTATATTTGTAGAATTGGATTCCGCATATTATGAGACGCCCTGTATATTCAAGGAAACACGGTGTTATTAAAAGTGCACGATTAATTTTAACTCATGCAGGATAATCTGTCGACCTGATTCACATTCTATCCTACTTCAACATGTTTTTTGTTCATTTACACAATACTTTTTCCAATTTCCTCTGTTTTGTCTTTAGCTATCTTTCACATAATTACAGCATATCTCAAATTTTCTTCTGATACACTTACATGATATTTTATTCCTCCTCAATAGTAATGCATATATTTCTTAAAAATTTAGCAGAAATAATTTGTTAAGTTTTAGAAAAATTGAGGAAATAGGAAAAAGGAAAAAGAGAGAGAATGTGTGTATGCATGCGTGTGAGAGAGAAGAAAGAACTTCAAGTCTCGTTTATCAGATTAAAAAAATGTTTATGTTTCTTTTTTTTTATATTCGAGTTATTGGAAGGAAAGGAGAGATTGTTCTGGTGTTATTTCCTCTTTTTTATTTGTATATTGACGGCTGGAAAATTTATACATTTTCTTCTGTTGAACGAAAAAGGAATGTGAAGAGAATTGCAATTATATTATTGTTTCATGCTCAATATTGTTATTAACACTATAATTAATTAATCCTTCCTGGTGTACGAGCATCCACCGTAACTTATAATCAAGCTCATCTGCTTAATGTTTATTCTATATCTCGTGAATCCTCACCACCACCCCCAGATCCTTAAACTCACCCTCTGTTGTACGTTTCTTCGGCATCTTCTCATTAGCTCAAATACAATATAGGAAATTTTGATTAGTTGGAAAATCTCGATCATGGTTTTAATAATATTGAACGCGTATTGACTTCTCTAAAATATAATTTTATCAATATTAAGTTTGCAAAATATTTAATTTGAAATTTGGCAATTCGTAATTTGAAGCAAATTAAGATTTTAATTAAAAATTTTAACACGTTCCTGTTATTTTAGCCATGATGATCGTAAGGTGATTTGTTGGGGGAATTAATTTTATTTTGCGAATAATCTATAGCAAGGGATGTTCGCGTTTCGATGGAACGTTTCGTCAGCTTGTATCTGTTTCTAGCTGTATTTTGTATGATATTAATTACGGTTTTAAGGTAGACATTAATTATGCTAACTTGTAAATAAAGACACAAAATTTATCCTGTATCGAAGTGCAATAATAAAAACATGTTTAATTAGTGCCAAAGTAATTTTGCAGAGATGAGAAGAAAGCACAACGATATCCTTCAGCTTTAAACCTTCTACTTCCAAAAGTAATAAAGAACATCGCAACCTGATTATTGAATTATTTCTTACGGTAAGTTATACACACTTTACTAACATATTTAAAAAAATGCTTTTACAAAAGTACATTGTGAAGTATGTATCTATGTTAATTTATAGATATACTATATGTTAATTTTTGCAAAACGACACTATGCATAGATTGACCTAATAATTTTAACAAATTTCCATCGCCAAACCAGTATAAAGATTTTTAATTTTATGTTGAAAAAGATAGAGATAATGGTGTGAAGAAAGGGTATCGTGGAAAACCGTTGTAAAAGTAAAATCGCCTGTTGGAAACTGTGTTACCATGGGTTCGTGGGTCGAGTGACCAACTTTCTATCGATAAAAAAAATTGAACAGCCTCTCTGGCGGCTTGTTGTTACTCGTAGGAATTGTCCAGCCCTTGAATAACAGAGCAAAAAAAATTAGAAACTTCTGCCCTAACTTTCTAAACCGATTTTAGTTTCACGAACATCTTCAGTCCTGTGAAACATACTGCTCGGTATGGACGCGATTTTCCCATCGAAAATGGTGCAGTATATTTACTTTTTTTAATTTTATAAAAATTTTTAGGTGAAATATTGACTGATTTTGCATTATCGTTCGTGCCGAGCAACAGTGTAGTACAAGTTATGTAACAAAGATACCTAAGCTCATTGCATGCCTTCAAATTTTTATTTTAGTGTTTATGAACGTTTTGTTATGTGGTAGATAATGGTGTTATCAGTGATAACTGAGGTGACATGGTGGAAGGTGCAACTTCGGTAGAACCTGCAAGTAAGGTAAGCATAATGTATATTTTTGAAATTGTTAACTTAGAAAGTAAAAATTTTTGAGGATGTAATCCCAATTATCGAAGATGAAGCTGTAAAACATTGAAGGATAATAAACACTGAAGAACGTTCGTGCAAGAGAGAGCAGTATTGAATCAGAATAACGGAAGATCTAATAACAAGAGTCAGTAGGTGTAATTTGTGGGACAATATTTCACGATTACCACTCCCACGTTGACTTACAAATCAGTCTTAAATGCAATCTCTTGCATAAGACGTCCTCTCTCTTCTTCTTTCATATCCTGTGCTCTAAAATCTGTACCATTCGCTTCGTTATAAAGCTGTTTGATTCATCTTAGCTAATTCGCTTAAAAAAGAAAAATTTTTATAAATTTTAACGCTGAGACAGTAGAAATGCAGAAAATGAAATGGCGTGTATAGATCACCTAAGGCAGATAAATTGTTGAAAAATTTGCGCACCATTACGGAAGCGAATCGAACACCTCGTCACACTAAATAATAATTTAACGCGTTATGCACAGTACCTGCTTTTTCCAATTGTTGCATAAATATCACGCGAAGGACAGTACAACCTTTTTATCTGAGCATCGTAAACGGAGGTCAATTTGTTCGCTTCGTTACTTGTAAACGATAAACGATTCAAGATAGCAACGTAACACATTCTTGCAACCAATCGGTTGCGTCGACCGTAACTGCCTGTTTCCTAGCTGTGGAATATGCAGAGGTAATAGCACGCTTCGAACCACAAAATGGCGTACTTTCCACAACGATAAGCTGTTTATTTCTAGTAGACTAAGCGAAGGTGAAACATGACTCGATAATATGTAAAAACTAGAAAGACTGGGGGCCAGGTTATCAAGCTGGTTTGAGGAAATTTCATTCGAAATATAAATAAAAAATGAAGTCAGCCACGAAGGAGTTAAATCAAAGAATACCAACTGGTATTCGTGCGGCATATAAGACAGCAAAGGGTTAATTACGGTTAATTACGCTACTCCAAAGATTTTATTATAATCCAACAAAATTTACCACTGAACAGGACCGATTGGTTACCGGTGTAAATTAACATTCCTGCTGGCATAAGTCGTTAACGTCGAGCATCCAAAGAATGCTTCCACGTCCACGACTATATTTCGACGAGATAAAAATTTCGAATCACCGGCTTAGTTCAGCTGAAAATCTGCAACATTGTGCGAAATATGATCGAAAGAAGAAGATGCGTTCGGCTCGTGGACTAATAAAAGGTTGACCAAACGTCCTCTCCCGGACCAAGTGGAGGAGCCAGTTTTTTCGAGGCAACCAAGACACCCGCCCACCGTGTTCCACCTATTCCACCATCACAACCACCGACACCAAAGGATATCTCCAACCCGAAAACGAACGCCCACCCGCTCGTATGACCGCTCCTTCTCAGCTTCTCATGGCCTTTTTTTATTCTTTCCTTCGAATTGAATTTTATATAAGGACCGTTGTTCTTCGAGCACGAAATTGATGAAAAATATCGAGATTTCGATAAAAAAGAGAGAGTATCAGAAATTACTTTCAAGCGGATCAACATGGTCAGCGATCAACATCGAATCCAATGAGAATTATGTATCCATTGGGGAATTGTTCATTGCTCAACACCTGACTTCCCGTTAATTTCGTAACGACAGTAACGACAATCGTTTTAACGGTCGCTAGCTGGAACACGTGCTCCAGTCGCGGATCGGCCACGTTTTTATCGCGTCCACGGAGAAAGAAGGCCCAGAAGCACTTACGATCAAGCTCGTTATCTCGAAACTTCGTTCTGATTGCCTCATAAATAATTCATTCGAGGAACAGGCTTCATGCCGAGACATTTCTTTCTTTTCCTTCTTTTTTTCCCTCTCGTTTCGTGCGATGCCGCGCACTTCGCGTCGAATGAATTACCGGTATCCAGTGTAACGACGATACTTCGCGAATCCGACAGCCTCTTTACTGTATCTTCTGGAACTGCATGGTCCACCTGAAAATAACCGGCTCGTTTTATCGCCAGGAACTTTGCTGGAAAGGGCTTCAGGTGGATGAACAGGTTGAAGTACGGTAGAACTCCATTTTGATTTAAAGGAAATTGTAGTAGAACTTTGGGGTATAGACAAAATTGTGATAGTGTTCGAGTGGAATTCTAAAGATACCCTTAAATTTTTATTGCCATTCAAATCATTCCCGCTCTTAAAGTTTTGATCCATCCAGTATAATCCGGTGTTGGCCGACTAGTAGTCACGATTTAACCCTCTTAACTGTGAGAGATCTAGAAGGAAGAAGGGAGAAATGGTATAAAGCGAAGGGTAGAGAGAGTAGGCGCGAATAAAGGAGCAAAAGGCTGACGTTTACTCTGTGAATATCGCATAGCAGATCTATTCTTAGAAAAGCATCGCGCGAAACATTCGTATTTACAATGTAGGTGTACCGCTTTTAAAATATTACCCTTGATATATAGTGGACGTGGTGGCTACAGCCTCCGCAGATTACAGACATAGTGGGGGGCAGGGAGGTATTTAATACGTTTCAACACATAAATTGTCGAGTATATGGGGCATTATGGGGTGGGACCAAACCATCGTTGTCCACTGGTCCCTTTTGCCACAGCGAAATCGTCGCTGTCACGGCCACCATGTTGCCTGATGCAACGAGGGACACCGTTTTTCTCCCTTCCCTTCTTCGCCTCCTCTTTCCTCAGCCACGCATTCCTCCCTGTATCGTCGACCGGATTTACCAACGACGAATCGAATCGAAGAAATGATGGCTGGTTTCCTTGAAGTCCGACTCGACCTTTACAAAGTGTTGCCCGTTGGAATTTGCAGGAACTTGAATTTATTATATTACTGTTTATTCTACGGTAAGAATATTCGAAGGAGTTTGTCGATATGGTTATCATTAACCTGAAGATACTTTCGGATGTGCTACATAAAACTTGTCCTTGCGGGTTCGATCATAATTGAAGAAATGGGAATGCATGGGTGTAAAATTATTTCTTACACGTTTTATACATGTGGTAGGGTGTTTACTTTTTAATTTAATGTACAAATTTCCGTTATTCGCGTATAAATAACGGTACGGAGACATATTTCGTAAGAACCATGGGAACGTCATGCCCCTAATAATACATATAACGCAGATGCTATCAAATGGCACAATGGTTATGCCGATTCTTCCTCGATCCAAATTCGAATTCCAAATAAAAAGTATCCTATAAAACGAGGTACAAGTGTATTGCAATAAAAGGCAGCAAGAAATATCTGGACCAAAGAATCCAACGGTTTAAAAGACACTTGACGAGATATCTCGTCCACAGATGCGAAGAGGGTTAAAGAACCAATGGTGATTGTCCGATTTCGGGGGCAGGCATCGTCTCGAAGAGGCGCTCTGAAAGATGTTTCACCGGTTCCGGGAAGCCAGTCGCGGACCACGTTTCAATTTATTTACTCGTCCCGCGAAATTCACCGCCTCCTATTGGTCGCCTCTGCTTATGCCCATTGGCATAAACTGCGAAGGCGAAGTCGTCGTTTGGTCCTGGCTGCTGCTTAGGGTTCCTCATATTAGACTTTTTCGTATTCCTTCGGCGCATTTAACCGGCTATTTTATGCTCCACGTGTAGGATAGCGTTTTCTCCCTCTCGTGGGTCGCCGCTGGTTTGCCAGCGACCGGATAATAACGCCCAGAGAGACGGTCGGTGCCGTCATTTTGAGATTTTATTAGGTATATCGCCGTTTGTCCAGCTCCGCGAGGGAAGAGCACGGCTTAAGCTCGCTTCTGGTATCCGTGCCTTGATTGGGATTAATACAAACAACGAACGCGACATGTGTTGCGTGCGTGCGAATTTGCCGAGGTACTTAAAGTTTCTTCACGTTTTAATTCCAGAAATGGGCTCCGCTACCGGGCGACATTAACACCTTCGGTATTTTCGGGGTACGGGTAAATTAAGCCTTACGCGGGGGATGAGATATTCCGCGATTTTGTTGGTTTAATTTTTGAGAAGCCGATTGCGGCTTGTAAGGTGAAAATTGTGATGTCTTCTTCTTGATAATACAATAAATAATCAATAATTTCTTTTTTTAAATTTCATTAATTTGCTTGAAAATGATCGCCTACAAGTGCAGCGGATTCAGTAAGTCCGCGGATTGATCTCACGTGCAGGTAGTATCTCCTCCTTGCAAGTTTGTAATTGGTCGATGCCTCGAGTGCCAATGGATTCCAAGAGTCCCAAGCTTCTCACGAAGCGCAACCGTTTTCTCTTGCCTCATGCCGCTTCCTCTTGAGCGTTTATAACCGAAGCGGCGAAAATCGTTAACTAGAACCATAGTCGAGTGAACGTGTACCAGAGAAGCTTAGTTAGCTATCAGGTTAGTTAAAGTGGCATGTATCCCCTGGGAGGTCGGAGCGCAGGAAATCCGTTTGTGTCATTAGCTGTGAAGGTCTTTGAAGAAAAAGTTTAATTTTCTCTGTTTTATTCTACTTTAACTCAACAGAGCCACATGAAGTATATATTGGATGGAATGGAAGTGGAAGATCAATTTACGCGACGATATAAGATAAAAAGACAACAACTGGGGACAAGAGAATGGACAGAACGGGAAACCAACGTTTCTTTCGCTGGTTGTTCTGTTGGAGAGCAACATTACCTAGAATTACTTGCTTCAGAGAAACCAAACGATGCGATCGATCCAGACAATGCCCGTGTAGTCGCGGTACATTAATTTCTTTCTGGGAAATGTACTGGGTCATGCGCTCGTGACAAACTTCATACAACGGGAAACGTAGAAGGACGTGCAACGGTTATTTATCATTCTGAAAGGATTTGCGCAGAAAAATGTTCCTTTATTCTAAAATTGCCATCAAATTATTGAAAGGTTAATTATCTACAACGTTGTTGCAAGATACCGCTGGTGATTGCAAAGCAACATGAAAACTGAAAGTGAAAAAAGCAAAACTTTTTACTGCTTTTAATTCTTGATCGATCAAGTCAATTTCCTTGCTGTTATTTGCGTGAAAGTTGATTTTTAACATTTGCGACTGATTTACTGCGCGCTGACGATTGTTAATGAGAGTGCAACTTATCAGAGCACGAAGACACGGTCCAGTAAGCTAGTCAGAAAGCGCAGTAATATTTCCATGGGACATGCGATTTTCATTTGAAAAAGTATGTGTAACATGTCGAATATCATGTTTCGAGGAGATTTTATGTTAGTATATACTGTATTCACCCAACAGCTTTGAGAAATGTCACATGCTTCAGTGAAATTAAACTGCATGGCATTTGTCGCAGTGTGACACGTCATCAAATGGCATCTCTTATAATAACCATCGGATTAAATAATTGGCAGACGACGTATGTACAATTGACTAATTTAAAAAAGGGATGCAAGTTACATGTGGTTCAAAGAAAATATCGGAGGGCGCCACCGAACAGAGTAACAAGAAACATTTCCATCGAGGGAACATTTTCTCTTTGTTTTTGTTTCCCCTTGTCTCTTTTCACAATCTCCTCTCCCCGATTCCACTGGACAGAGAAGTCTCTCGTCTCGATGTTCCTTCGACCAACACAATCTTTCTCTGTTTCTCCCTCGAAAAATCTCTCCTTCCACTACCTTCCCTTTGCCATTCCAGTCGGTTACTCTCCTCTTCTAAACGAGCGCCGCGCCCATGTCGACGACGACGGCGACGGCGACGCGACGCTACGAACCCCTTCGACGCATCCCTTTCATCCGTCCATCTTACTCGATCAACTACCTCCGAACGTGATAACATGTTCCTTCCTCTTTGTCTTGTTGTCAGGGAAGAATAAGGAGGGTCATGGAAACGCATAATTTCCTTTTCCATATCGTTGTCTTCTGTGCCATATTGTTTGCTTCTGTGAATTGACGTCATATTATTTCTTGGTATCAGAACCCTAACACTTTCTCTTCGAGTGAATTTAATGATAAAGATTGAACTAGAAAAGGGGCCTCATTTCGAAACTTCTATTAAATGCAGCCCACTGTATAACCCTACACATCCCTTAACTAACGTCCGGACAAACAAAAGAAGTAATCATCCCTTGTTAATTAAACTGGGCACATATAATCCATGCATATCCATTAAGTACGATCAAACCTCAACACGCTAGATCCTTGTTTCAGCGGTCGGTTGCGCATCGTCAAGAGAACAGCATCATCATTTACTCGAATCCTGTCTCGGCGTAGCCTGCGGCCTCGCCATCTTCCTACAGTGGTGGCCGACGTTCGGGGAGGGAGAATCCGGGGACAGACAGGGATTTCGAGGGGGTACCATCGTCCTCGTTTCTTCTTCGTCATTGACATCGCCACTCGAATGGTTTTGTCTTTGTCTCCCTACAGGATCGCACATTTTGCGATCAGGTTGGTACCGCGGGGCGAGAGAACCGGGGCGCGGCTCCATGCATCGAAGAGGGGACCAAAGAGGAGCGGAGAGGAGAGGAGAAAGGTAAAGAGAGAAGGGTGGTCGTAGCCGTTCGGATGCGGCGGGTGGGGGAGGGCAAGAGGGGAGAGAGCGTTCGCAAAGTGTCCCTAAAACTTTTACAATCGCTCGGCTTGGCTCGCTCGCTCTCGCGTTCTCGCTAGGGCTATGCTTGATGGCGTATCTTCCAATGTGAGTTGCCCATAATACTAAGATGTACGGCTGCGCCGGTAGGGGTCCCGCTTGGTCTCTCGCTCACTTACTACCTTATAGTATAGCAAAGCCAAAGGCGTATAGCGCGCCGAACGTCCAACGTACGGTTCTTCCATCGTCGTTTGCCACCAGTATTTCGCCGGTATTTTCGGTTTCTAGTCGCCGAACGATCGCCCTTTCTTGCAGGGCAGCTAGTCCGCCCGTTTCCGCCCGAAACGTCGACGCCAGCGCTTGTCGCTGCTACGCGAGTATTCCGTGCCTTTTTCTCCTTCGTACGCGCGAATAAAGCTTTGCAAATTCAGTAGAGAAAAGTTTCTTTCGTTCTTTCGTGTCCGACAATCGGATCGAGTTCGACATGGAGCGTGTTACGTCAGTGGTGTGCAAGGGGAAGTTCAACGTTCCTCCAGTTGATCCGCTAAGTAGCTTGAGTCACGTGATTGTCCGGCATTGTCGTGGATCGGTTGGTCGGTTGCGTGCTGTTGAGTGCGTTTCGCGTCACGATGCCCGTCGCCACCGTCGCCGTCGTCGTGGCCGTCGGGACAACGGGGATGTCGGACAGCTTATGGTAAGCGCATTACAAACCCTCACTGTGAGCTCCTCTGATGGCTAGTCTTATCGCTTTCGCCCTGATAGAATACGCTTCGCGGATCAATTCGCTTAATCCAAGCTACCATTGTTTAGTTTTGTTTCTATTCCCATTTGCAACACCAGAAGTCCCTCAATCATGGCAACTATCTAAATCTAATAAACTAAATCGTCTTCGTCCGTAGAAAATGTAAAAAAACTTGGTAGCATTCCCATTTATTGTTTCATTTGATGTACACAATTGCATCGTCTAAACAAATGCGTCAACTTTTTCCAAATTCCCCGACGGGTAGTCATCTAAACACCCTAGCCAAGAAGACACCAGACAGCTCGTTCTATCGAGTAACGAGCTCGTTCTGCGTCTCCGTCCATTGCTCCCGAAGAATGCACTCCGCGGGATAAACAAACGTCGCCACCCAAATACTCAATTAGCGAAGATTTTTTTCGCGGTGCACAACGTCGGGAGAAGATGGAAACGCGAGGGGAATCCACTTAGATTCTTGGTCCAGCTCGTTGCACGGATCTCATGCTTGGCTGGCACGGTGGGGAGAGATGGTTATCGATTGGTGGAACGGTCGTATAATGGTTGGCCACGCCCAGTCGGACCTCGTCGACAGGCATCCGATGTATCGTGACCATGCGCCATGTGACTTTCCCTGTGCATTTTCTCGACGTGTTGCAGGAAAATACTCGCGCAGGTCGGGATCACCTTTTGCGTTATCGACCTCCGGATGCAAAGCAGTACCTAGTCGTAAATGTTTGGCAATGTCTTTATCCGACCTATGATTCCTTTCATAGATGTAGTTTTTAATCAGATTCCTTGATTTTTCAAGGATAGATCGTGAAATCACAGCTAAGTTAGATGATATAGAGGTGAGGATTTTTTTCAATTATTATATCTGTGTATGAATACGTTTACAACCCTTAAATTACCATCCTTCAACATCTTCGTCCCTTATGGAAAGCAAAAAAAAAAAGAGAAAGCGTCTAGCGAAACTCTATGCGACGCGCCGCAGTTCTTACAACTCTCGAAAGGATTGCCATGTATAAAAACTCAGGTCGAAAATCGAAAACATAACCTACTTTCACTTCTGGGTTTTCAGCTACCAGACGAGCGCTGTATGAAAAAAAAGAGAAAACACAACCCCCAGTGGGTGAAACGAGGGTAGCAAAAGAGAAAGTACGGGACCTGTGCACATGCTTTGAGATTCAAGGAAAAATATCCTTGTTAAATATAACTTGGGATTAAGAAACAGGTTCCAAGGAAATAATTTTTCGTGAAAGAATAATTACGTTATAATTTACAATAATTTACGATTCGTAAAGACTTTGATAACCTATAAGCTCCTGTTTACATCATCACCATTGAGATTTTTACACGAATTGTATTTTTGTTAAATGCAATTGCAGGATTTACTTTCTTTAATAATCGTAATACTTTTCTATTTTGACTTATCATATCAGTTGATTAACAACCCTTAAAAATAAGATATGAGGTGTTAGTTTAAAAGTAATTTATTCTTTGCTTCTGGGATGGATACTTATCATTAGAATAAACACCCACATCAGTATTCATACGAACCTAATCGTTTGTTTAATTCTCTCTCTGTAATTTAACGCATGTAAACATCGGAAACGTTTAACACCTTTCAGATTTACATCAGGTATCCGACTAAAAATAATGTACCTTTGTTTTCACCGTGTGACGATGTTCATTCATGTTTCATCTAGATTTTCGAAGGAACACCGACGAAACGGGGACTTGAATTTCCATACAAATTAGACAGTGAGGATAATGACCGCTGAATTACGGGGCTCTAAATTCGGTTTAAATGAAAGTCCAAATAAAACGTTTTGCATTAAAAAGATCGTGATTTTCGTTTTATTTAACGAAAAGAAAAGTTTATATCCTTAATTTAAAAAGTAGGATTTTGCATTGCTAAACGGGTATGTTCATTGGACAATGTAACAACGAAGCCATGTTCTATCCTTCGCTACGAAGATATCGACGACAATAACATGGAACGATTTGCATCCAAGTTCGTGCATGACAACAGGTTTATAACGCGTATGAAGCAATCAGGAGTGTACACTCTTATCGTGTAATTTACATCGTATGCAAATCACGGGTTTTACGAGACGTGGCTCTGTATCTGTGTGTACACTTTCTTCGAACGTGGCTGCCGCCATTTCGAACAGCCGAGGTGAAAAGCTTCTAAGAATATCCTTCGATCGAATCTCGAACTGCCATTTACCCTTTCGAGTAGCCTCGAATCAATTTTCATCTTTTTTTCTTTCCTTCGTTTAAATTTGCTGCTCAAATGCGAGCTAAAAATATGGTTTTAAAACGAGTCACCGCATTCTTTCGTCGTTCCTCTTCAGTTATTTGAGGCGGTTTAATAGAATGGAAGACGGGGCTGCATCGTGCACAAATGCATTTTTGAATAAATACTTTAAATGCATTCCATTCTTTTAATTAATTCTTTTATGAAACGTCGCTTGTCTTAATTAAAGTTTTATTCAGTATCTATTTTACAACCGCATCAAGAAAAGCAGCTTTTAATTAATTTTTGACTCAATCTATAGCAATTTATTTTTTATTTAATTCCAGAAATACTGGATTAGAGTAATCACAGAGATCAAAGTAAATCATTTATTATAGTAATTATTCGCATACTTTGATATGCCTCAATAAAATTCACAAGAATACTTTGTGGGTCAATGTAAATGAATTAAAAATTATTTCTTTTTCCTTGACCAAAGGAAATATTTTTTAGTGTTGGACCTTGGCCAAAAGGGCAACCTTTAGATTGAAAAAATGTACAATTTACTCCGACACCAATTTTGAGGCTCCAGTTGTGTTTCAAAAAGACCAGACAAATCTCAGAATTACATGCATCAGATCTTTATACCATCATTTAAAAAGACATTGTAAAAGATATTCTATATTCATGAAGAAATTGTTACACATTTCTAATATTTGTACTACGGTTCGAACAAACCAATATTCCAGGCGTCGTGGAAATCAAAACATTTGGCGAGCACCGAAGACGAGGTTCGTCGCGCTGAAAACAAACACGAAACCGAAGACGAACGACCGAAATCACGCGAAGAATGTTTCGATCAGTAGGTCGTTAACCATCGTAGGGAAACGTTCTCGGTTGTGTTTACGTTGTCCGCGAACAGCGTTCTCCATTTTAATCTCATCCGATGCGTCGCTCGTTACACGTGCGGTTATGTGTGATTGAATCAAACGAGGAAGACTGTTAATTGATCTGATCGCGAGATAAAAGAAAAGAATAAATGACGATACTCGTTGTCGTCGATTTATAATAGACACGAAATGAAGAAAGTGGTATCACGTGAACGCCCATTCGCCGCCATTGGTTCGTAACCTTTCGTGTTTGTGACCGGCAGCTTCCTACCGACTACCGACGTGACGCGAATGTTCAATACACGAATAAGCTTCACCTTCTTCGACGATGCTGCCTCTTTCGTTTTTCGTGCAGTGCGCATGGGTATACCTGGAAGGAAGTAACCCCGGGGCAAGTGCGTGAAAAGGGGGTGCTGCAAATGGGTGCATCGGATGCGCCTCGAGCGTAGTGCAAGAGGATCGGGAGAAAAAGATATTCAGTGCCGGTGTTGGTCCGCGACTTTGATCTCGCTTCGTCGTCACCTTGAAGAATCCGGAAGATATTTGATAAATCTGCTAATGCAAATTAGATTTCTAAACTACTCGAGAAAGGTTCTGTTATTGAAAGTACACGGAGAAGGACAATGTGTTAGTGTCTGTTTACGATATCCCTACTACGATGTAATTGACAGAGATATAATATATTTGAAAACCCAATACAAGATGAAGGATGAGGTTGATACCGGTGCGATCGATAATTTAGACTAGGTTATCAGCTTCCCGGCGTCGCATAATCCAATCAAATCAACTCCGAAGCACAAGCTAAATAACGCCCACTTGGTCTAACTTCATCCTTCCACAAGACAGTAGAATGAGTCAAGTATCATATCCCAGAGTTCAAAGAAACAATTAACACAGTGTACGACAGTGAGCCGGAGGAAGAGTTACAGTCTCTGAACGATCACGTATGTGTATTCTACCTTGGATAATCGCAGTCGACTTTGACCACCCCCTTTCTTTCCTCTGCTAGAATTGGATGGTGGACAACACAGTAGCTGTAACAGTTCACTCGACTCAATCTTTTACATCATATCCATCTCCAGGACGAGGACAAGGTGGTGGACTAGGGAGGGAAAAGAGGGACGAAAGCGGTTGTGTGACGTTCGTAGGGGTCAGACATAGAGAAGGGGCGCAAGCGCAGTTATGTTCGTGAGGCTCGCGGAGCACATGGTCGACCCGACTTCTATTCCGCGGTCCTCTTCGTTCCTTATCTTTCGTTTCGACATCGAACACACATATGTAAATAATCACGATCCAGACTGACGTGTTTGAGGAGAATTTGAGATTCTTGGTTAAAGATCGTCCTTTGTTTGAAGATTGATACGCTTTGATATGTATCTAAATGGACATTAGAATTCTTGAGACACTGTGTACACGTGAAAGCGATGGTATCAGTGGGGAATGGTTGGATAACGCTGGGCTTGGAAAATGGAGAACACAGAAGTGGAGAGTTCGATTGGTTGCACGAAGAAGAGGAGGAAGAGAAGATGAAAGATAATTGTTGAGAAGCTGAGGAACGTTCAGTGACCTTTTTCCTCTGATTTTGACAGGGAGTAAGCAAAATGGAGAATTTTAAAGAAGAGAATACTTCAAAGGTACACCTTGACATGTACAAGAAAGGCGTAATTAGTGGAAGACAACGTTCTTTTTATGTATATTGAACAATTTTTAATAAACAATGGTACGTGGATCGCTGTGTGAAAGGAAGTTGAACAATGTAACAAATGTGAGGCTACGAACTAGTCGTCCTTGACCCAGGACAAGTCATCGATGAATTTTTGTGCCGGTAATGGTCGTAAATAATCATCGTCGTTCTTCAAGAAAATTTATGGACTAACTGTGACACTGAAGAGACTGTGGTGCGGGAGTGGACTATTATTAAACAATCGCATGCTGACTGTAATAGAGTGCAGTATTCTGAGACCGGCAGTTCAGAGTTCATCGATCAGGGTGAAGGGTGAGTACACTATCTCAACATTTTATTAATTACAATTCTTTATCACTTATCAAATTAATTATTTTGTAAATATTTCTGCGATTCGTTACCAGTCTGTGCACAGCACTATTGCGTCTACGATTACATTATCATTATGCAAAGTATTTACTTCTATATTTATTGTGATGCATGAGATTGATAAAAAAAACTAATGATAAGACGAGGGTTGATCTTAATTTTTGCTCAAAATTAGGTGTGAAATGGTACCTCGACCATTAGAGGTAGCAAGTTTAGACTCCATACAAACCTATAGAACCCATGGTTAACTCCAGATTTCTCACGTAGTCTTTGAAAATAGAGTACCCTAGTAACATGAAGCAACATTCAGAGGGCGTAGTCCGTGAGGGCATTTTTAGTCGTGTAGAGGGTTTTTCGGGAGTATCCGTGGCTGCGACAGATCCGCGGCTTGTTTTTACGATTTAAGGGAGAAGGACGAGCGTGGCGGGGTTTCAAATGCGGGGTGTAACTGTCAGTCTTGTAATAAAACTTTTAACGCCTTCGTGTCCAATAAGCGTGTCGTCCACCGGCTTTTACATTGGGCGGTGTTCCGCGGCCATTACGCCGTAACGGGGCAACGCGGCACGTTGATTGGCTGCTCGCAGCATCATGGCCGCTCTCTGCCCAGGATTACCCCCACCCTTTAGCCGATACTAGTGCTTCCGTCCCTCCGCTGAATCATTCTGTCCTTGTTTATGTTAAATCTTTCAGGGTAGAGCAATGCAAGGCCAGGTAGGACTTTTCAGCTGGTCAGGTAACATTTCATGATTTTCATGATCGGTATCTCAGAGGAATTTATTTTGGAAATAAAGAACAATAGCAGTAATCATGATGATACTTAACTATGCAGCTCATTTTGTATATGATATATTGTACATATTTTTATTAATATGAATAATATTATTTATAGCAGCTGTTGGATATATTTAAATATTTAATTAAAAGATATAGGTTGTAATTATAAATGAGATTAATTATAAACCTTTTTCTAAGGGTTATTTTAATGTTTGAGATTAGATTTTCTGAGTATTATATAAATTGTACAAATTTGTTATTGTTATTTGATATTGGTTAATAATCAGTAATAATATTCCGCATGGTTTGGTTTCCGCGTTTAATTTCGAATAGGTCGATAATTTCTATCGCATCCTACTTTACCGATCGCATAACTTTCCCGCCAAACAGACACGATACATCCTGTTTTTAAATACCTTTTTAAAAAATAATTGACTCGTTTACATGTTTTAATCAAAACTTTAGGTTTACTCAGAAAAGTTACATATTAAAATTTCTTCTTTTTTTACTCCCTTTTTACGTGCACAAAAAACCTACATACACGATATTGCATAGTCTTAAAGAATCTCAACCAGTCATTAAACTACGCGTTAAAATGTTAATTCGAGGCAAAAGCTTCGAGTAAGATAAGCTAGTGCACCGGGGTATTAAGAATCTGGGGGGAAAAATGAAGTTGTTCAGTAGGAACAATCTTATCACGAAGATAGGCTGGAAAGGGAACTTAATTTCACTAAAATTCTCCGGCAGCATAATGTTACCCTTTTCCAAGTTGAAAAATGAAAATGCAATGTGCATCACAAATACAGCATCACATATGAGCATCTAAATAGAAATTGGCTGGTGCATTCGATGCACAAAGTAATGGGCTAGGGAGTTATATAGAGGATTTTGTCGTAGTGCCATAACTAAAGATACGATGGAGTACATAGGATGCAAACTCATAAAAACCCCCCACCTTCCGTAGTCGGCTCTTCTCGAGGCGTCTTCAGACAGCGTTACCTTTACCTAGCGCCGAAACGACCGTATCCACCTACAGCTAGCAACACCTTCAACGACGAAAGTGACGTAGATAGGGAACGCACACCGTCGACGTCGACGGCAGCGCCAATAAACAGGGTTCGCGTGCCCGCCTGACTTTCGATTATGTCATAGACTACATATTTCATCGGGACGCGCGGCCCGCGAAAGCCGGAAGTTATTCCGTTACATCGTTGTGTGTTGTGATAAAAATAAGTGATAGATTGGGAAAAGAGCGTATGTGAATCGAAAGAGTAGCTTTTCGGTCGAATAACGTTGTTAACCATCCGATAGTTTTGCTCCAGGATAAGCATGCGGCAGCTTTTTAAATTGACGCGTAATCAAACTGTGCACATTGGGGGATATATAGTTATTCTTTGATATTTCTCGCGTGTATGTATTCGAGGACAGAAGAGGAGGCACTGTGCACGGATTAACTGTGACCAGTTCGTGCCACGACACGCGGCCGTGTCGATCGTTGGATCGCATTAAATTTTATCCGACGGATTGTCAGCTAACCTTGTCATCTTGTTCGCGGAAAATTCGTTTGTTTCGCCTCCTCCCGCATCGGCTTGTCGTGGTAGTCGCTAGTGTCAGTGTGTGGGTTCGCGATTGCGCATGCGTCTGGTCGTGTTACGGTATCGTTCTTTCGGAGTGGTAACATGCGTGCTTTGGAACCACGTGACCGGTTTAATCTTCAGCCTGAATAATGCACGACTCCTATTGGAATTTTCTGCTAGGATCGTTAATACAGGTCAGTACCATCGTTTCGTTTTATCATCGATCTGCCCACGCCCCATGCTCTGCCATGGACTTTGTCTCATACTGGCCGAGCATGGAACACGCTTCGAACTGCTTGTCACGTATCTCGATGGTGCATGTAAAATAAACGCACTTTTCGCATGCGAACTAACACAAACCGACGGAATTAACAAATACGTTGTAACAGGGGATTTGTAGAAGTTCTTAAATCATTCGAATGTCTCCCTTGACAGACGTAAAAGTGACAGATATTACATAACCTTTACTAATGCTCCATAGTCACGTCAATCAACGTGTAACTGGATAGGTAGTTTGAAGAGTTAATTGTTTGCTTTATCAATGTAGAATATTATTAATACGTAAAGGTATCCACTTAAGGGCTGATAAGAGCATCATTTGCAAGTGGATACTGCTAAAAGTCACTCACAGATGACTGACAGTCATTTCGTGCACAGTGTCCACGTGTAAAAGAAGTTTCCAATACGTATATTTTTGTACCACAAAATAGTCGCTCGTCGTAATTTGAATACTAAGCAGTATGTTGCTATTTTTGGGTTCTTGACCTTTGATATTACAGTAGAGTTAATTTCATTGATATTTTGTAAAACGAGAATGTTTATAATGCAACAAACTATCATTCATATGGAACAGCTGAGTATGCCAGTTAGTTAGAACAAACTCCTGACGATGGCGCGCTAAGATATTCGAACCGATACGATGGGTACCTTTACGACAGTGTGTAAATCTTTAGCCACCGTTGAATTATTACTTCGTAGCTACGATTAATTACGAATCGTTCGTAACGTTGCGAATCGTTTAAATCTTCATAAAGCGTATGTCTTCGCATTCATAGTAGGCAATGAATTATTCGTTGACAGATAACAAGGAAACCGTTTAAGAAATTTATTGATCAGCGGGAGAAGATTTTCGTAAGAAGAAGGCTTTCCATCTAACAAACTACTGGCTTCCAGCGGTAACAATTCGTCAATGTAAGTCACATTGTTTAAACAATTTCATATTTAGTAGAACTGCTTTAGCAATCTTAAATATAAGTTTGACATGCTTCTTAGAATACACTTATTCTAATTATGTTAACAAAGATAAATAGTTCACTGTCATTTTTAGAAATATTTCTAAATTTTGAAAAAAAGATTTGATCATCTTTTCAATGCAAATTCACCGCCGTGTAGTAGATATAGAATAAAATTGTAGACTTTTGTGTTTATGCCAGTGGATATAAAACTCGATCGCAAAAAAGGCGGGAAGGAAACCCAACCTAACTGAAAGCGTAGAATAGCGTACTCTTTTCACCGCGTATCTTCGTTAAGCTTAATAAGAAGCAAGCAACATTGGATACGTAGCTTTACCGTAATATTCATAAGCCTAAGGCTATTACATTTTATGCTTCAACGTCCTTACGTTTGATTTATCATTGTCTAAGGTATCTGCAATCACGGTACTCCCCCCTGCTGATCACTTGATTTATCGCAATTGTACAATTAACCACGCATCCCGCTAGATTTATATCCCAAGAATGTCATACGCAGCGTGTACATCTAATGTTGTAGCAGCTGACATTCAGGGTCAGTCTGTACGTAAAATAAAGTTGGAGTAACGTACGTTTGTATTTTTCGTTACTTCAACTTGGCGCGATGCAGTCGAATGATCTTGGGATAAAATGAGCGCCGCTTTCATTTTGTTATACACGTTTCTGCTTTTCCTACGCGTCTTCTCTTAAATGATCTCTGAATGACTGTCTCGTTACGTGGAATCGTGGCTTTTGTAGGCAATTTGTAAGGAAAATACGAACCTCTTCGCGGTGGTGCTATTTTATTAACGCGCTTCAGAGTGAACTTCAATTATAAAGCCGAGCGCACACCAAATGGTCAAATAAATGATCAAATGTTTGCTCAAAGGATCTTCTGAGTTCACACTGGTTAGAATTATTTAGCTGAGAGACCATTTGTTTCTTGATTTGATAAGTTAGTCCTTATTAGTATACTTCCGCTAATATACTTCATCACTTACTCTACCAATGTAAATCAGGCTTTAGTAGTTTACCAAATATTTGTCTAGTTGCCAAGTGTTCATTCACGAAAATCATATGTTTGCTCTTCTACTCTCTACTGTGTACGCAGCATAAGGTATCCTAATTTATCGTCAAGATATTCTGACTCAACTGTTGTCTTTTATATTGTACATCATTACTGGATTTTATTATCTCCGTGGTGGATCGAACGGTAGGAATATGAAAGCAAAGGCTTAAAAAAAGATGTGTCATTGAGTTGACGATGTTTGGCGAAAGATCGAATGAAAGCTTGGTCGTATGAAACTGACGTGACGGAAATTGTAAATTGTATTCTTCTTCTTTGTTCATTCTTGGTCCTTCTTTTCGTTTTAGAGTATACTGAAAATACATAAAACAAGATTATTCTTAATAAGATCCTCGAAATATGCATGAAACCAAATTCCAAAAATTATATTCACTAATTAATTTTTTCTGTTGTTTTTTATAAGGTTAACCTTTTGCATTTGTAATAATATGAACTTACCTTTAGAAATAGATTTAATATTTTAGTTTCTCCTTATTTCCTGAAAATGTAGAATCACGTATTCAAAAATTCAGAAGTATCAAATAAAATGTTGAAGGGTGTGCCCTTTTCTAGTTCACGTAGTTGAAGTACACTGACCGAGAGACATGACGTTGAAAGGCAAGTTTTGATAGCTGGACGGTTTTAGCTGGTGGTACATTGTCCTCGCTGCATAATCCAGGGAAAACCGCAGGCGATAGTCTTGCACGAAATATTTTGCGGGCATGAATAAACTCGAGCCGCCGCTCCGCAATTTTGCCGCAGTGGCCGGTTTTCTGCTTCCATTTCGATGCAGTCGTTTTTATGTGGTTTGTCCGTGTTCCTCCGTACAGGTCTTCATTGTTATTTTATATATTCGTGATTTTTCATTTGTGAAAAACCTGTATTTAATAATAGGATAACACAATAATTACTTTCGGTTGTCTTGGTGTTCTAATAACTAAGAACTATTCAGTAAACTTACCGAAGCACGCTTCACCTTTAAGGATAGAATATCGCAACATCGTCGAACCTAGCTTGTCTCGCGTTCTCAAGATTGTCTCTACCCTCCTGTATCCACCATTCTACCCCCACTTCTTTTTCTTCGTCTTCCAATCACACGATGTTCCTTTTCATTCTTTTTTTGGTTCATCCCTTCCTTAAGATCATCTTTTATGATTCTTCCAATAGAAAGTCTCGTCTTTGTCTAATCATCATAATCTTCGATCCTCTGAGTGTTCATGCTTCTATTTCTTCCACGTTTCTGTTTGATACAACAAATAGACAAAAATTAATTTGAAGAGCTTCTGCAAACATCTATAAATTCCTACAAGATTATTATTCCTACTAGTTTACCTGGGAATAGCTGTAAACGAAAGGGTATGCGAAGAAGTTTGCAGGAAAAAAAATTCCGTAACATCGACCCAGGTTGCCTTCTTGTTTCTTGAGAAACGGTTTGTTCGCAGCAATAGAACAGACAACCCCTTTTTTGTACTTGAAGAATACCGTTTCTCTCTTGTAGAATACCGCTAGATCGCCATTCTGTTAGAAACGAGATCATGGTCATCCTTCTAGAAATGATTTGTAAGAACTATCGAGAAGGCCACGTTACATCTTTCGTTAATTTTTTGGAAGATTGATGGAATAAATAGCAAATCACAACAGATATCTCTTTATCTTTTTTAATTATAAAGTACAAATAAAGTCCGTCTCAAGGACTGCTGCAATTGCATACTATATTTAAACTTAAATCAGACACGATACATATATTCAGTGTTACATGCAATTAGAAGATACCAGAAATTTATGAAATTATTCAGCTTAATATACCAACACACCTGTGCGCAGCCTGCATCATCATATTCTTCGCAAACTACATATGTATAAGTGATCATTATATTCGATTATCTACACCTGCGTGCATAAATCTTTGTGCTCCTCCAGAATTATTTCATATAAAAGATAATTAGTTTGTGGAAGGTTGATTCACTCGGTTGGCCTCGAGGGTTGGAAGCAATATGCTGGTTGAGAATCTGCGCACAACAAAATACATTCAAGAAAAATAATGAAATAATGAAAAAATATATGGTAAACAGCATTCAAACATGCAAAATTAAATAAAAAGACATCAAAGCTGTGCATTAATAGACTTCAAGATCTTTGGTGCCTGTCAGACCCGAGTCTTCAAGGATTATTTATTAAGGCTTTTATTGAATCGTGTCAGCAACTTTGTTTCGCGAAAGCATTCGTGTTCCTGCGACAACTAAGCGTAGAAGATGACTCGGAAATCCCTGTACGTAAATTGCAGTGGTGGTTGAACCAAGAAAGCGTCTAGGATTTCTCAATTAACCGTCTGGACTGGTTGGCTGTCGCAATAAGCGGAATCCGCTTGAAAATGCACCGAGGATATCATCGTAAACAGGATTCTTTACGCTCGTTCAGGACCGATCGTTGTGATAGTCGGGAAGTTTATGCTTCCATGAGAAGGGGCTCAGTCCAGCTGTTGACCACTATTTTCAACCCGTCCTCTCCCTTCATTATTTTTAGAAAATACCCAACTTGTTGCAATGTTGCGAAAGGACGCCCACGAATTGATGATGTTTTCGAGTCGTATCTCGAATAAGTTTACCCCAAACCCCACCCCCTTCTGCCTTCATTTTATTTCTTCACCCCCCTCGAAATCCTCAGAATATTCTCTGAAGTCCGACTTTCGTTTGCTACCATTTCGCCTCGTGTCATAATTTTCTTCCACTAATCAAGTCTTCCGTTTCTTCCTCGAGTATTTTTTCTTTAATACACCGCCATTTTGATCGTCGAGTTTTCTTATCAAGATGGAATCTTTCCACGCGTTTCTCCTTTCGTCTCATCAGCAATTTAGCGAAACAATGGTGAAAAACAAAAGACATCTCTGGAGTTTTCTCGTCAGGAAGTCGAAATTTTATTCGCCGGCGACCAAACGTAAAGCGTGTTACATTGTTGACGGGAAGATTGGCCACGTAAAACAGCGAGACGGTTGCAACGATATCCGCATAGAGGGACAAGAACTCGTCGACGAATTTCCAGGGTAACTTGGACGACGAATGCACGCGAAATACTCGGTATGCTGTAACTCTGTACATAGGTCCATGTAGCGAAGGGTTTAGGGACGTATATACATATATAACCACCGGTCTATCTCGATGGTCTACGTTGTAGAAGTCTCATTAGAGCAAACTCCCGTGGAACGAGGCAAGGAAACTCGAAGCGGCACGGATATATTCGGAGGAGGACATGAAAACTTGGAGATTGTGAAAACGTTGGAATTTCACCGATCTCGTTGAGCGTGTAACGAAGAAGACACGGTAAAGGATAAACGAATGTTCAGGCAATGGAAAACGAAAAGATAAAAATGAACGAAGAGATAAAAGGGAAGAAGAAGAAGATAAGTTCGAAGGAGAAGATTCCTGAAGTTAACTCCTCGCTAGACGCACCATACTTTATGCTATCTTGAAACGCTCATTACCTTTCTACAGTGTTGCGTGTACAATGTTTCAATCGCGACGATTCAATTATTTCTAGTGGAACCGCAGAAAAGGAAGAAATGTTCAAGCAAAATTGCTTGGTTGAATTATTTATGCGAGGCGTTTAAAAAATTGTAGGAATGTTTCCCTTGTTAATTCTTGGGCTTGGTATATTATTTGATTAGTTTCTGTGATTTCTATTTCTTCTATTTTATCTTCTTTCATTATTTCTCACTTCTATTCATGAATCAGACGAATTTCTCAAGCATAGTAGCTCGCGTGAATAAAATTTGAAATTTCATGGTCAGGGAAACGGTGTAGGATTCGAAAGGCAGAACTGCATCGAGGGAAAAAGGGTTGTCTAGAGTCTAGACAGTGATCAACGTAGGATTGTAAAAGTTTTGCAAGGGACGTGATCCGGTATCGACGAGCAAAGGAGAGTTTGCTCTCCCATACATATGTATTACACCATGGCGCTAGAGCAGAGAGAAGCCAGTCGTGTAATATATTTAACAATGTCTCACGATATGAGACGTTTTTACGGAAAGTCGTTGGCATACGAATTGCTTCGTTGGATTTGCTAGCAGAGGCGGACACATTGAAAATGAGTTTTGCTCCTTTGGTTACCTAAACTTTCGGCTTACGCTTGCACACGCCCGTGGCTTCGATCCTCTTCGGCTTGTGTGCGCGACAGCACAAAACTAACGTTGCCTGCTGGCTGCATGAAATTCAAACTTTTATAACCGGTTCAGAAGTCTGGTCATTCCGTTGGATTCAGCTACGACACGAAATCGTCCAATTTAATTCCACCCGCGGAACGAAAACTTGAACCAGCGAATATCACCCCTCCCACCCCCTCTGAATGCCCGAATTTCGTCGACAAAATCCGACCCGCGTTCCGGCGAAAAATTTCGAATGTCGCGTATTATGCTCCCCTCGTTTTACTGTTTTTTTGATGCCAACCACTCATCGCCCCTAATTCGATGTTCTTTATAGCCGAGAGAAATTTTGTTAAATATAAATTCTTAACAGAAGTTCAAAAATTAAATTAACGCAGAATTGTCCGATAAAGTACCCCGGATCTTCTATAAAATTTCAGCCATCCAATTTGTACGAAGTTACAAAGTAACGAAAGGGTAACAGAAAAAAAACTCGGTCCTCTCTTTCTGTTGTTCGGACAAAACGGATTTCATTAACCACTCCCTTTTGGGTCGGCAAAAACCTTGCTCCCCCTCTTTCTGCCCTGCTGCGCGGGTAGTCCTCCTCGGCCATGGTGTGCATTCGTTCGAAAAGAGGGCGTTCAGGGATGGAAAAAAGGAGGGAAGGAAAAAAAAACGAAAAGCATTCGAAGAGGGCAAAGACTCTTGAAGGGCGGGAGGACGGACGCGTTCCAGGAAGGTTGGGTTGAGGTTGCAACGACGGTTCCCTAGAATGGTAGAAAGACAGCAATGGTTGGAGGAGAAGGCTGGGACGGCGGGAGGGCGAGAATGGTTGGGAACGAGGTTGATTCTCGAGCGAGGTCACGTATTTCGAAGCCAATCTAATACACTCTGAGAAAGATGTGAGTTGGAAGTCGGGAGGAACGTCTTAGCTTTGGAATTAGAGGATCTTGAACAAGAGCAGCCAACGGGAATTTGAACTTCCAAGGAAACTTGGATGGTGTAACCTATTCCTTGCGCCTCATTAATTGTTCTTGAATTTACTACTAGCTATTTCTGAACACTCTCGATCAAATAGAATACTCATGTAAATCTATAATTTAATTTTACTAGGGTATGATATCTGAACGTAGATTTTTAATTATTTCTTCGATCGATGGAAGACAATGTCCAGAATCTCGGTCGTTTCGAAAACCCAGTGGAATTGAAGAATCCAGCAATTTCTTGGACCGTTGACCTGTTGTGATAACCATCGTAGAACGTAGCAGTCTTGCGTAATAGACGAACGTAAGGAAGTCCGTAAAACTGCATGTCCCGATAGGGTTTCTTTGTAGACGACCTTAATTCGTTTCCCGTTTCATTATCTCCCTTCGTCGCTATCTTTTATCTCAGAAAATATATTAATTCCGTTAACGATAATAAGCGAAGAAAATATATAAGGTGTTCGCGCTCGTAAATAGGCTGCTTGAATTTTTAGAATGAGCTTTCGACACTCAACCCTGCAACGCTTGGTTTCTTTTTTATTTATCGGGATTGTGTAGCACGGGTAAATGTAGCACGTTTTATACAGCAGTGGCCTTTTCATGTTTCTGTTGCACAATATATCCGGTGTATATATAGTTGCAATAGCGGGTGCATGCGCACCACCGCTGAACTGATGGGACGCGCAGAAAATACTGCATCCGTGACGATTCTATTCGTCGGGAAGAAGTTTATCTGGAACACTGTTCAGGCTAGATTGAAGTTAGGTAGAAATCGTGTAGATTGGATAGAATTCATTAAAACAAATTAAAAAGAAGAGTTTCACATCTCTATTAATTTTTATAATTTTATCCTCTGAAAAATCTCTGAAAATATTTCGTTTAAGAATAGTTGAAACAACATATACGATCCAGTGATGTAATAACGGTAATATTTCGCAGCTGTATTCGTGTAAAATCTTGCAATAATTTAAGCTTACACGTCACATTATCTTGAATTCCTCGAAACTTTCTCTACCGCGAGAAACGATCAAAAGGAAATTTATGCCCGTCCACCCTATCCACCTAAGGAAAATTAATTTAGGGTTGGAATATTGAAAAGTGATAAAACGGCAACGTTTTAAAAATAGCTGCAGATAACGAAAGTATCGTAAATGTAGATTGGAGAAAATGGTCACAGCTGGAGCGACGGGCAACGGGGTTAAAAATGTATTGGTACAATATTTATTGAATTCGCTTTAAAAACTCGGGGAGAAATGAATTCCGATGGTATCTCGTTATGCCTTGGTATTTTATTCAAAATTCAGAATAATCTCATTTGAATAATTTCATAAAGTTAAAATATTTATTTTCAATTTAAAAGTATGCATAAGTCTAATTTTGACATTCATTAACATTAGTTTAAATTAGTAATTATCAAGGATTTTGAAAACCTTTCTAT